ACATGTGCCTACACACCTTGTTCTGTGTATGTATATATCTATGTATATATATATATACAGATATCTATAGAAAAAACTACTCACGCATATGTAAGTAGAATCAAATGAATAAGTACATACATACATACATACATACGTACATGCAAGCATTCATACATACATTTTGTGTGCGCGTGTATATAAGTCCTGAAACCTAGACTTAGACTCTCATCGAAACCTCCGATGCTAAAACCCGAAGTCTGACATGTCTCCGGCTAAGCATGTTGCCAGAGTCGTGTCTACGGAGTGAAGCTCCACATGCCTGCCACATCCATGTCGCTTAGAGTGTAGAGGTCTGAATCAACTTTGCACTGTTAGCTTGTCATGAGAAACTTTCATGCGGGTAGAACGGCGCTCCGCTTTTCATGACTGTGGCTTTGCTTACGGCGTACGGTCAGGCCAGGGAGGAGTATGCACGGACACGTGAGCGACTAGGGCCCAAATGTTGTAGTCTGAAGGACACATGGCCTTACATTTCGTGCTCCCGGAAGAATGCTGTTGATTTTGATTGTCATCCGGCCTCAACAGCCTGTACTGAACGACGGCTGGATTGCAATCTGAGGTGCAACACAATCGACTTTGAAGCAAAGCCACCAACAACTGCCTCCAACAAGCATCACGTCAAAAGGATCAGAAGGAAACTGGTACCCATGCCATAATAACCCGGCCCAAAGCCCTAAATGAACTTGGCCATCGAACCCTCCCTGACATCCGGAGCAGCCGGAAGTAAGAGGGGATGCTCGGGAAACTATTGGGTTGCATGAAACCTCCTCATATTGGGATTTAAGGTTCAGGGTTTGAGGGTTCAAGGTCCAGCTGAATTGGTCCAGCTGTTCGTACCGTTACAGCTACCCTGCCTCATGGAGCCAATAGTTCAATCTTGCTGAAAGACATCGAACACTTACTCTTCCAATCCCTATAGACCTTAATCCTAAACCCTGAAAGCCCTTGCCTCCCCGCCCCGACCTTTTCCAGCTCACTGGAGAGCCTTGGGCTGTGACTTGCGGTCATGGGTTTAGGATTCAGGCAGAGTTTAAGGTTTAGATTCAAGGGTTTGGGGTTTAGGGTCTGGAGTTTAAGGTTTCGATTCAAGGCTTCGGCCGGGCTCTGCGAAGCACTGAGGCCCACCGTAATGCAGTGCCACACTGACAGGTGCCAAAGGCTGCCAGGGCCCCTGCCATACACCCTCATCCACTCATAAGGACCCTTATAAATGGAGGGGGGAGGGCTCCCCCTACCCCCGTAAGGGTCCCTTTGATCCAGAGGTCCCTAGCAATCTTTGTCACAGGTCATCATGATGACTATTGTTCTTGCACATTTAATCACTCCATTCGCCAGCTGTTCTGCTAACTTTTAGCCGATGAGGTTACTCGTCTTATTATCATAGTAGAAACCACCATCATTCGTGTCAATGTTACCATAAAGACCCGGAATACGAGATTCCTTCTGTAAGGATTGCTGGGAACCCGCACGCAGTTCTCTCGGCACGGGCGAGCAGAAAGCAAAAGCCACCGAGCAGCCTCAAAAAGACAAATGACAGTTGAGAGCTTGATGCAAGGCTTGTATGCAGGTGTCTATTTATATGGACTCAAGATATAGCTTTACAAATTTGTATACGAAGGCCTAAAGCCTAAATCCTGAATCTTTAGCGGGCGGTATGTGTCTTTGCCGAAGGTTTAGTTATGCCAGCTATGAACGCCTTCTAAAATGTTTGCAAACTTTTCCGGGCTTTTTGAATAGGGTTTAGTGAACTTTTGTAGGGCCTGACCAGGATTTCAGCGACTTTGTACAAGGCTGTCTCTGGAGGGTCCGTGCGGTAAGATGTTAGACAGTCAACTCGCAATCCAACACTCTGAAACAGACGACGACCAACCTGGACATATATGTACACGTACATATGTATATACACACACACATGCGTACATGCATGCGGACAAACATACATGGGAGCTTGCGAAAATAGGGGACCCTATAATATAGTACCCTAAAAAGTAGGATCCTTATAAAAAAAGGACCCCCAAACAAGGTACTCCTAATCCACATATCCTCCTACTGAGGCCCACACGTCAGATGGCGGCAGCTCCTGGCAGGTGCATGCAGAAGATTGACTATTGCAGGTTTCGGGTTTTAGGGCGTGGGGTTGAATTTGGTCTCAGCATTGAAATTAACGAGTTATCGCTGTCAGCCGTAGGAATCGAACAGACATTAACAGCTTCAAGATCTTTGAACATGTGGCAATATAAGGGCCTTAGTTATTAGAACAAGGTTTTGGGGGCCATCATACTAGTAATTACAATAAGGAACCCCCAAGACAGCCTAATAGGTAATTATTTAAGCCCCTGTAGCACTCCAGAACTCCTTCTCCGGCACCGCATCCAAGCCCTCCGTGTGGTTTAAAGCTTAACGTCGTAATGTAGGGGCCTCAATAATTATCTATACTATTTTGGAGGTTCCTCAATATAATCGAGTATAATGGTCCCCAAAAACCTATTGTGACTAAGGCCCTATATAAGGACATCACTTCTGCGGCTGACATGCTTGCTGTAGCGGCCTCGGGACAGTCACGGGGCAGGGAACAATACTACACAGCACTGCATCCCTGCATGAGCGCCTCGTAAGCTACAGTAATCTGGTTATATAGGGTTTAAGGTTTAGGGCTCGTAAGCCAATCTGCGTCTATTGGAGCAGGTATGTCGTGGCCGTGCATGCGGTGCCCATTGAGGGTCCGATTGGGAACTGCATAAGAATCTATGGGCCAAAGTCAATGCTACTGTTGATGATATAAACCCTGCATTACCCACACTAAGGAATATACCATAATTCCCATGGTTTAGGGTCTTAAGGTCATGCAGGATTTATATCATCAACCGTATGGCTGCCGGCCACACTCTGGAAATCCCTCCCGCTTCGTTTCGCAAAAACCTCACAACAAAAGGGCCCGCAGTCCCCCAGAATAGAAACTGTCACAAGAAGGAAGCAAGATGCCCAGAGCCGGTGGTGAGATGCAAAGATATACAAAGATCATTTCTGTTTGAGGTGAAAGCGATGCTGCAACTTTCCATACGACAAGCAAGCTGCCAAAAATTCTCTTGTAAGTCCCTTGGATTTGAGAGTTTCCGACAATAGGGGACCCGAATATAGTACCCTAAATAATAGGATCCTTATTATAAGGGCCCCCAAAATAAGGTACCCCTTATTTTCCCATTTAGGGTCCCGGTTGCCAAAGCTGCCCCGGCCGATGCCTGCGATATTGGGAACACGAAAACATGATTTGAACAAACTGCTTTCACCTCGAGCCAAAAATGCAGGGACACCGGGAGCAAAGAGCAGATAAACCCTAAACCCTTCACCCTAAACCCAAACCGGATACCCGATATCCTGAACCCTATCTAAACCCGCAACCCTGGACCCTAAATCCTAAACCCCTAAATTCTAAGCCGGATCCTATCTAAACCCGCAGCCCTAAACCCTTAATCCTAAAACCCTAAACCTAAATCCTAAAAACTTGAAGATACCGAACCCGGAAAGCAACCGTGTAGGTTGCCCGACACAAGACAAGATGGAGAGTACACCATTTCCAGTAAGTCCGTGGTTTCGGCTTTGTGGTTTGCTTTACCCCCTCTACAACTGTAATACAAACACGTTTTTACTATTCTCTTGCGTTCCATATGAACGCAAATGTCAAAAATTCCTAAGGAGACCATAGTTCCAGGCTCGGAATGAACTGTAAGTTCCAAGACACGTAGATTCGCACCATCCCGTTCGGTGGCGATTAGGGTTTAGGGTTCAGGGCACCCTCAAAAGCATTCCAAGCGATGTGGGAGTTTCCGAAAACAGGGGACCCTAACATAGTAGAACAAACAGTAGGATCCTTATTATAAGGACCCCCAAATAAGGTACCCCTAATTTTCGGAAACTCCCATATTCACAAACACCCAGATCCCCAGAATCTGAACCATGAACAGCGCAGCTTCACTTCTGCTACAATTTGGCACCCTAAACCCTAAACCCTAAATAAGGCCCTAAACCCTAAAACCCTAAGCCCTAAACCCGACCTCATCAAGGGTGACATAGGGGCTCCAAAAGGTCTGGATTTAGGGGCCTTCACCGTTGGAACAGGCTTTAGGGAGGGGTGTGTGTGTGTGTGTGTGTGTGTGTGTGTGTGGGGAACCCAATCTACCACGGGACAGTTCAGTGAGAATTGCAAGTTGCAACTAAGAGAAGTGATCGTGCAGGGGGACAGTGGACATTCTGGAAGGCACTGTCCAACGAAGACCTTTCCAGTTTGTCGTGAAACGGATTGAGGACGCTCAATCCACGTACCTGCCAGAGTGCTTGTGACATCATTCGCAATGTAAGCTGTGCAATGCTTCATCTTTGACATATTCGCTGTGCAATGCTTCAGGATCCTTGGCTTTTTCTTCTTTAGTAAAACATCAGCAAGGTAACCAGAGCCTATTGAAGCCCCACCGGCAAAGTTTTCTTTGAAGTCTCTCATCGGAGTCATTGAACTCACTGATGAGTCGGAATTGACCACGAGTGAACATGCCACCAGCAAGACTGGGTGTTCAAGTGTGAATCGGGCATGGCCTTATCCGTCACGGCGCCATTACCGCTGCTCTCGAGGCAGTATCCCTTGAAACAGTGCCCCGAGTGGGACGAGTGATCCTTGGCTAGGTTCCTAAGAGACCCCAAACATCAACAGACTGGAAAGCAAATGTCTTGAATCCGGAAAGCACATGCTGATCAAGAGGACCAGCGCAATCAGCTTGAAATCCAAATTGTCTTGAAGTCCGCTTGAAGTGACATGCATGCATGACCTCGATTAGGTTAAGCTTAATTGCCGTGTAAAGTTGCTAGTGCATGACCCTTGTCTTTAAGCATTCTTTTTGTTTTTCTTCTTCTAGTTCGTGGTAAATTTGTTACCAATAAGTTGTCCTTAGCAGCTGCGTCCCACCGCCATGGAGATTAACATACAGATCAAGAATGCGCAGCCCGAAGACTTGCTGCAGGCGTTTGCAGCACTGAGTGGAGGAGCAGCATCCTCAACGACAGCGGCATCTCCAACTGCAGCGTATATCTCAGACCAAGGGAGACCGCCATTGAAAAGAATTCGCAAAGAAGCCCGCAACACGACGGCTGCCACAAGGAGATCCCCGAGCTTATTATTCAGTCAAGAAGAGCTCCAGGCATTGCAGGCGGCGAACCCACAGGGAACAACGCAAGACTCCACCGCCGAGGATACCGAGCAGAGTGCAGTTGGCTCTGGTGCAAAGGCAAAGCGAAAAGCTCAGCCATTCTCGGCGTTCCGCAAGCACGAGGGACGCACTATGTCCCCTCGGCCCTACTTCCAAAGGAGTGACCAACTTGGAGCAGGAGAAGCTCCGCCTACGCCGAGACCTTCATCTTCGTCGGGATTGCCCGCGCTACCACCAGTACCACTACAAACAACGGCAAGTACAAGACCCGCCAGACCCCTGCTGGTGAGAAAGAGAACCATGGACTCCAGATCCCCAAGACGCAATCCCTCACGAAGGAGCCCCAGCGATTCAAGGACCACCAGACCGCGGGCAGTACTAAGATCCAGATCGCACACCCCCAAGACAAGATCCAGATCCCGCGCTCCCAGTACAACATCCAGATCTCGCGCTCCCAGGACAACATCCAGATCTCACTCCCCCAGGACAATTCGGGATCAACCATGGGGTTCTTTTGGAGCATGACCTCACGTGGGACAGAGGAGGCGACCCAACTCCAGAGACAATGAGGAGATTCTACTTCTTGCAATCCTCAGATCTTACTCTGCAAGACCCTCCTCTACCAACTCGGCAAGAAAAGATCCTGTTTTGGTCGCATGCAACAGATGTGGGAGCTTTATTCAATATGTTGAAAGAGCGAAATATGCGTCCGATGAACGCGCATGGAGTGGCAGCCTTTGGATGCAACATCTTCTATGCGCTTGGCCACGAGATGTCCGGATCAGACATCGACGAGCACAACCTGACCAGGGTGATCTTCAACACCACCCGAAGCGCCAAGAACCTGGCAGGCATCGTCGTGGGAGGCCGTGCATGGGGATCCCTTCGCAAGCATCTTGGCGGATCCTATGAAACAGCTCGGGCAGCCACTGAAGAGGACGAGGTGCTCAAGGATGCGAATGCAAAAGCTTATTGCGTATCTCGCAACAGATATTGCTTTACATGCATTGCGTTCGAGCAGCTGATGACGCCACCTTCAACAGCTAACACCCTCATCTCCCAGTACTAGAAAGCTGCAGGCATAGCTCCTCAAGGAAGAGCCAGACTTTCGCTCATCTAGCAGCGCATCCACGGCAGCACCACGAAAGCTCTTCCTGGACATCCCCTTCGGCAAAGTCCTGCAAATCTTCCACTGGCTTAGTGCCGGCACCGAATGCGACGCCGCAAACCGCATTCTTCGCAGCAAAAGATACACATGCTTTTTATGCCTCTTATGTCGCTGCAAGGTTTTTGTTTGTTGGAGTGCCCTAAATTTCTTTTGCCTTCAGTGTTCAGACGGTGCCCCCCAATCGCTAGATAGCTTCATACGCAATGGCGAATGCATGGACTGGGTATTGGCCTCAGGGAACATCGAATATGCCGTGGTGGGCGTCAGGCAGTGGGAGCGCGTCGAGCACACCGACTCCGGCACCTTTGCCAACGCCAACAACCTTACCGTCGTGGCCACCTATGCCCCCGCCCGCCTCTAGCCCGTCTACACAACCTTTGCCGCCACCGCCGCCACCGTGCAATACACAGCCGGAGCCAGCAAATGCAACAAGCACACCGACGACATCGGCAGCTACGGCACGACTACCACTCCCAAGTCAGTTTTCGGAGGACCCGGACCACTATGATACGAACCTTGTATTCAAAGCAACTTTGAAGAGGACAATAGAGCCAACAGCTTGGAGCCGTGCCAAAGGACTTGCAGGCATGGACGTCCGCGATGTCACCGTTGCACATCTTTGCAGGCATGGCATGGAAGAATTTGGACTCCGAGGACTTTCCCACGGCAAATTCACCGGCATGATTTTGACCCGCAACATCGCCGAGAGCGTCCTCCTCTCCCAGCTCCAGAAGAAGCTCCGCGAGAACAACATCGACGTGGACGCCACCATCGACGCCATCCACCAAAGCAAAGGACAAAAAGCCCCTGACAAGGTCAAAGAGGCTATCACCTTTGTTACGCCCCTCGTCGACACCATCATGGATGCCATCAAGCCCTGGGCACAGGTACGCAACTATGGCGCCAAAAACACCGACGGCGACAACCAAGCAGCTCAGCGTATGCAGGCCCTAGAGGAGCAGACCGCCAAGTACAAACAACGCCTACGCAGTGCAGGCATCGAGGTCACCCCCCAGAAGTCCCTCTCACTGCAAAATGAGCCAGCTGAAGGTTCAGAAGCAACAGCGGCACCACCAAAGCGCAGACGCCTCACAAAGGGAGCCATCAAGCAGCGCAACGAGGATATCCTCGCCGAGCCCCACAACGTGATTCGTGCCAGTGGACAAGAGCCACCGACAAGCATGACATCGATTGCAACTTGGGTCACCAACCTCAAGAAGAGCCTCCCCCGAGAAAAGCATGCGGAAGTGGATAGTCACATACAGTCCGTGCAGACCATCCTGGAAGGCGCCAAATACACCAAGGCAGAGCTACAGGAGATGGCTACGCGATGGGGACTCCCCATGTCCCTCACTACAGCGCCAAAGGCCTCGCCCAAGAACCTTCAGCAGTTGATCGCCGCCGTCACCTACCTCGCCGTGTGACACGTGCAGAAAATCCTGAGAGGACCTTTAGCACATCAAGAAAGTGCCAACATCTTCCAGCAACTACAGCAGATAGTGGATTGGGGGCAGTTTTTGCTTTTTCATGTTCCTGCTATTAGCAAAGAAGTTTTGATGTGGTTAGTTGGACTTATTCATCTCGTATTCACCTTTCACAGAATGCGGCAATCGCCTGCAGCAGAGCAACTAAAAGAGCGACTTCGAGAAAAAGGTGCGGTTCCAGAACTCTACACGTTCGAGAAATTCTCCCAGCCCTGTGCAGTGTACGTCAAACTTGCATTCCCCAGGCTCAACAAGCAAACCTATGCGACTGCTACCAGAGATGCATCTTTTTGCTACATCGGATCCACCAACATCACTGTGGCCAAGAGAGAATACAACAGAGTCGCAAAACTTCGTCAACTACAACAACTCAAACTTCCCAAAACCGAGATTGCCATTCGATATTGGAACGATTCCCAGACCTACCAGCACTACAGCACCATCCTCCTTTCGCAGCACTCGGAGTATATTGACGCCTGGGCCGAAGAACATAGCCTGATTCAGAGATGGCAGCCCAAGCTGAACTACCCGTATGTCACGAAGGAGCTGGTCAAGAAGGCGCATGGTTTGGTCCCCAAACACCAACAACCACATCTTCGCCACCCACCAGATTCTCTGGGACGACAACTTTTCAAAAAACTTCGACGAAGAGTACAAGGACAGAGACCTTCGCTTGTCAATGCGCTACCCAAGCAGGCGCAATTCTGGAAGCTTTTGTATTCCATATCCAGCGACACCAAGCAAGAATTTGAGGCCTCCAAGGAGCTACGCAGCGGCAAGCATGACTCAGAAACAGTTACCCTACTCTACAGACTCGCCAACCACATGGAGCAACCATGGAGATCAAAAGCCCGAGCCAGACTACGCAAAGTCCTGCAGTTCAAGAACGCATCGATCCCAAAGCACAACAAGCCCTTGAAAGTTCCTCTACTTGCACATGCGTCGCACCGCACCAACCTTGAAAAGTACCTGGTACGGCTCAGCAGGACGCACAGACATGTACTTATACCATACCATCTACCAACCAAGACGGTCCAGGAGGCAACGCATCCCTCTCTCGAACGAGCTCTTTGGAATCACAAACGGAAAGTCACCGATATGGGCAGACACTGGAAGCCTACAGAATGTCAGTGCACCCAATTCATCAAGCAACATCCACGAGCACAAGTGCATGAAGGACATGTAGTAACGGGCTTGGAAACCCTACAACTACCCAGCACAAGCCAGACTTTTCGCAACATTGGGGCCGGGAACGCCTTCTACTCCTCCAAGCAGCGCATCAAGAAGCAGCATCAAGAACAATTCCAGCGATGGCTAAAGCACCACCAATTTCCTCGAGATCAACGCATACTTGACGACTTTGACGACTTCTTCGAGCAGGAGTGGAAACAGCACAGACTACAGCTTCAACGAGAACCACGTCTCACACACAGATTAGCAAAGAACATCTTGGGCATGATCCCTGACGATTACATTGTGCACAACGAGGACCACGCCAACGCGCACCTCATGATCTACTGCCCGAACATCTACAACCAAGCAGCCTACAACACTTGGATGGACAAACAAACATTCAGAATGTTAGACGCCGACCCTGAAGAGATCAAGCAAGCCATGCAGAACAACACCCCCAAGATCGTCGCCAAGCACTACGCCAAGCTACTTGCCTATGAAAAGCCCCTTCCGTATGGATATATCCTCATGAAACGGAAAAAGCGGTGGGCCAAGTGGACCTTTCCAGTTTGTCGTGAAATGGATTGAGGACGCTCAATCCACGTACCTGCCAGAGTGCTTGTGACATCATTCGCAATGTAAGCTGTGCAATGCTTCATCTTTGACATATTCGCTGTGCAATGCTTCAGGATCCTTGGCTTTTTCTTCTTTAGTAAAACATCAGCAAGGTAACCAGAGCCTATTGAAGCCCCACCGGCAAAGTTTTCTTTGAAGTCTCTCATCGGAGTCATTGAACTCACTGATGAGTCGGAATTGACCACGAGTGAACATGCCACCAGCAAGACTGGGTGTTCAAGTGTGTGTGTGTGTGTGGGTGGGTGGGTGTGTGCGTGTATATGATTATCTGTATATATATATATACGCATGTACACATACACATGCATGGAATATATATATATATATATATATATATATGTATATATATATATACATACACATACATATATATATATATATATATATATATACATACATACATATACACACATGTACAAGCACATGTATATATGTATATGTATATATATATATACATCTGCTTATTTGTTTACCGATATCTCTCTCTCCCTATATATATATATATATATATATTGATATATTGATATATAGATATACAAATAGATATATACGAACTGTGAGGGAGTACGAGTGGGTGGCGACCGTCATCTGTTGCTGAAACCCGAAACCGTGGACCCACAAGTTTCAATCTTAAATTAAACAAGCAACCTTAAAACCTACGTCTAAACTTAAAACCCTGAAGCTTAAGGTGGTTACTTCCCGCTTAGCCGTCCTTTCATTGAGGATCCCAGTCGTTGCGGTTTAGGACCTACCCAGACCTTCCAAAACCCCTTAATTAAGGAATATACCTTAAATTAGAATAGGATCCCTAATAGGATTTAAGGTATATTCCTTAATTAAGGGATTTTGGAAGGTCTGGGTATAGCGTCCCTTGGACTCCCAGACGCTACGTTGCAAGTACCGTTCGAACGGATCCTGCTGGCGGTCCTCGGTTCAAGGCTTCATCGGGTTAGAACGTGAGCTGGGTGTCAGGTTCAAGGGTTTAGGGTTTAGAGTTTTGGGTTTAGGGTCTAGAGTTTATTTAGGGTTTAGAGTTTAGGGTGTAGGGTTTAGAGTTTAGGGTTTAGGGTCTAGAGTTTATTTAGGGTTTAGAGTTTAGGGTTTAGGGTTTAGAGTTTAGGGTTTAGAGTTTATTTAGGGTTTAGGGTTTAGGGTTTAGAGTTTAGGGTTTAGGGTTTAGAGTTTAGGGTTTAGGGTCTAGAGTTTATTTAGGGTTTAGAGTTTAGGGTTTAGGGTTTAGGGCTTAGGGCTTAGAGTTTAGGGTTAAGAGCGGATCAGGAGCCAATCTGAACAAGGCACGCACTGCTTTTTGGCCGGTGTGCACTGCGCGCCCTCTACGAAAGGAAGGGCCACGCCTCCGTGTTTAAAGTGGAGGCAGAGGCAAAGGCTGAGTCGCTGAAAATTGTACGAGACTTGTGAAGATCCTAAACCCTAATCCGGTTGAAATCAGGGCTATATGGGTATATGTAACCTATATCGGGGCCTTAATAATTAGAGTAGGTCTTGGGATATGTTGTACTATAGTTACAATAACGACCCCCCCAAAAAAATAGTATAGGTAATGATTAAGGCCCCTGTATTATATAACTAAGCCCAAAACCATGTAAGGATTGTATGAGCATGATGGCGTTCAGGCTGTTTCTGATAAACTATAGTCCCTGTATGAGGCTTGAAGGAACACAGGGCTCCGTCGCCCTTTCTGCAAACCGATGCGCGAGCTGCTCAGTTTGCCGAGAGTATAGACTACATGGGAATAGTTGTAAGTAGGGTTACCATACAAGCCTGAAAAATTACCTCTATTACTCCCTACGGTCCCGTGTGATGTTCTTACCTTCATATATCCGACAACACTATTCTAATCATGAAGGCCCCTACACCACTTGAACAAGGCCGGCTGTTGGCGGCGTGCATCGGAGGAAGGCTTATCAAAGAATTGATCTCAAAGGCTCTCAGGCAGGCTCACCTCGCCTTCACGATGGCCTGATCGTAGACCTCACAGGGGACCCTAAGGTTGAAGAGCTGCAGCAGACCGAAGACAAGAATGCTAGCAAGAAGAGGAAGAAGAATATGAAGAAGAAGAGAGACGATAACAACAATAGAAGTGATTCTTCTGCTGAAGGTAGCCCCTAAGTCTATATGCCCCCCCTTAGAACCATAATAAAACCAATATGTTTGAATATTCTCTTGCGTTTTATATGAACAAAACTAAGAAAATCCTAAGGAGACTACATTACGCTAAACCTTAAATCCTACCTTGACCCCCTATTAACCTACCTTTTTAAGGACTCATATAAGGCAATCACAATAAGGAACATGTAGGTTCCTTAGGGTCCGGGTCAACCGAACATCTTCGGCCGATCTCCTCGCACCAGCACCAAGAGTTCGAATCTCTGCTCATTTGGATTTGTGTCTGGAGACTGAGGGGGTGGAACCCTAAATCCTGTATGCCCTATGCTTTGAAGGGTTTGTAGAGGTTATTTAAGGGTTTATGAGTTTAGGGTTTAGGGGTTTAGGGTTTATAGGCTTAGGGTCAAGGGGTTTGGGGTTTAGGGTTTAGGGGTTGAGGGTTTAGGGCTTGGGGTATTCAAGCACAAAACGAAAACCAAAGCCACAACCACCTCTCATCCCCTTGCGCTCGGGGCTCCCCTGTCCCAAGCTGCCTCGCGAGTGCAGAGACTGCACTCTGTACGAGCCACAGCAATGTAGAGGGGAAGGAATATGCCCCTAAGAAAAAGACGCACATTCATTCCAGAAAATCTCATCACTAAGCACTTATGAGCAGTCTTGTCATTTTGCGCTATTGTTACCATTAGAGTTACAATGATTTATGGTTTGTGCGGTTATCAAGGCATAGGTTACTGACGCTAGTACCGGTGAGCGTGTATCGAATGGCGGCAGGGGCATGTCCAATACTGATCGTCATGGCGGTAGCAATGCCAATCCAATATCCTGTTAATAGAAATACAAGTAAAGTAATCACGGTGTCTTAACATTGGGAACAAGGTCTTGTTGGGTAGATCGTACGTCAATGTTACCAAGGAACAGAACTATTGTTTATGCAGGCTTCTACTGTTTTTGATTGCTGGCATCCCTGTAGAGGAGGCCCATGTGCCCGATAAACAGAGGAGCTCTAACATAGTGGCTTGAATCAATAGTATAGGGTTCGAGAGGTGTATTGTTCTGGTTATTTTAATGTAGTTAAACATGTAGGGGCCCAAGTTGCCACTATTGCAAGCTATCTAGGCTTCTATACACTGACCGAGGCTGGAATGAAATGCAACTTCATACGGCAACAGACAACTTGTCTAAGCGGCTGCATGTCCCTGACCGGTCCTTGTCGATGGCAGCCAGAAATTTCCTAAGCAAGCGCAAACTCGTATCGGACAAGGATTCAGATGGCTTGCGACTGGCACGGTTTAAGACTTTCGGGCTCTGAGAATACACTCTCAAGACAAGAATCGTGTCCGCCTTAGTTGTGAATTCGACCAACGTCCAGAGCGTCGCCGAGATATCCAAAACCCCAAACCCTGCTAAAACAAGACACAGAAGCCCTAATCATGCCCTAAGCCCTAAACATCCCTAAACCTAACCCCACAAGCCCTAAATATCCGTAAGCCCTACACACCGAAAGCCTGAAACCTGCCAAATTGTGACTCCAATAGGCCGAAAGGATCAAGCATTGCCTAGAACCCCCAACTACCCTCTTGTATACCCCAAAATACGCACTATCAAGGACCGGTTGCCTTGAACCCCCAGCTACCCTCTTATACACCTCAAATACCCACTAATAAGAGCTGTATCAAAGGGCCCGCTCTTAAATACCCCAGATACCATCTATTAAGGGCCATATCGGCTCGTTTAAAAGGGCCCTTGGGTCGTCCTGGTGGAGACCTGAAAGATGCGAAAGGGTTTAGGGTTTAGGGGATTCTGTTTTTTTTTCTTCGGGCTTCGGCTTTAAGTTAGCGTTGATTGAGGGTTTAGGGCTTGAGGTTTAGATCGGTTTAAGGGTTCGGGCCTGGGATTCAGTCGGGGTGTAGGGCTTAGGGTGTATATAGCTAAGTTTTAGGGCAAGGGGTTTCGGAGTTTTGGGCGTGAAAGCTTGCGGCTTCGGCGTCAAGGCTAGGCGAGCATGTCCCACAGACCGAGCAACGGTTTCAACAAGCCTTGACTCGAAATCTTAAACCCAAGAGACTCTAAGTGTCGGCCAGGAAGACCCCAAACACTGGTTCAGCTTTTCTGGGGGGGGGGGGGGGGGAGGGTTTAAGTTTAGGGTTTAGGATCACTCCTCAGCTCTACACCATAAGCTTGGGCGCCGGAAGGCCCTGCACAGCAAAGTCCAGGACCCGAAAGCTTGAAGCACAAAACAGACACAGAAGGGAGTCTCAGAACAGAAGTAACCCTAAGCCCCAAAAGATACCCCACACGTTCGGGGTCTCAGGTTTTCGGGTTACTGCGGTCCTAGCACTACTGACAGCATACTTCTTATATGGGAGTTTCCGAAAATAGGGGACCCTAATATATTTCCCTAAATAGTAGGATCCTTCTTATCAGGACCCCCAAATAAGGTACCCCTAGTTTTCGGAAACTCCCATATCGACCCTGCCCTGAACCCTAAACCCTTACGGCTTAGGGTTTAGGGTTACCCCTAACTCACAAACCCTAAAAACCCCTAAATTCCCTAAACCCCTAAGTACCTTAAACCCTAACTGACAAACCCTAAACCCCTAAGCACCCTAAACCCTAAACCAAAACCTTAACTGACAATCCCCAAACCCCTAAGCAACGCATCTAAGCGCCCTCGTGCCGGACTTAATCCAGAGCCAAAGCCCGAGAAACTGGTGGCCCTTTAGCTTACTCTAGAGGCCTCAACGATTTAGGGTTTAGGTTTCAGGGATTTACGGGGATATTTTGGTAGACATATCTATTTTCTAGGAGTTATAAATGACAATGAC